AACTGGCTCACCAAAATGAATTACTAGGCATAAGAGATTCGAGGAGAGAGTAAGAAGACTTCAGCAAAACTCATCTACATTACAGAAAATATTTGAAAGGACATTTTGATAGTAGGCCCATATTCTTGATTTTGAAACAAAGCACAGCAATTTCTTAGTACCTTTTCAAAACCAGTTGTAGACTTCTCTCCATCCTTTTTTGTAAGCCATATGGGCATAATTTGCTCTGGGATCTTCTTTCATGTTTTGGAAAGTAGCTTAATTTCACAACAGACTCCATATCTTCATTAGCCAAGTGCTTTCCAAGAATTTGCTGATTTTTAACGCAGTGCTTCTTAGATCCTGAAATGGTTTAAGTATATCACACTTGAATACCAAGACAAAGAGATAATATCCGTATCAGAGTAAAGGCCCACAGGTAACTGGATGTGTGAAAAAGGATTCTGAAAGAAAGATATACGTCTAAGACATACGAATGCGTCCACTACAACTGAAATAATGTGAGGAAAATGTTGAGGAATCAAGAAGAAATATGAAAAGAAACTTTGAACAACACATTCCATTAATCTCTGTTTACCTGTGTGTTCACGAGGCCTACATTGACTGTTCTATTTAATATATAAGAATTGCCCAATACTCTCTCCATGCTCATCTAATGACCACATTCTGTTTTATTTATAAGTTTGACCAGGGCATTCATTTCCTTCTAATAAATTAAACTATTATGTTTATTCTATAGTGTGTTTTCCCTACTAGTATGTTACCTGTAAGAGACAAGAAAATTTTGTCAGTTTAGTTTTGTTCATTGTTTAGAACTATGCCCAGCATGTAACCAGCATGAAATAAATATTTGTTAGATGAAAGAATAAATGGATAAATTACTATTTTCAAACTTGAAGGGAAATATGAAGGTGTAAGAATAAATTTAAACAATGTATGTTTTGAATCTTCAAGTTTCACTCATTAATAACATAATTTTTTTTTTCTCTAAAAGGCAAGTATACTTCAAAAGTATGTGCTCTGGTGATGGCTGCACAATATGGTGAATGTAATTAATATCACTGAACTTTACATGTAAACATGGTTGAAATTGCAAATGTTTTATTATCTATATTTTACCAAAATGAAAAAAAGAAGTATGTGCTCAGTCAATATCCAAAAGTTATAGGTTGTATGATTACATGCAGTTAACATTCTTGAAATAAAATCATGCCAATGGAGAATAGCTCAGTGGTTGTAAGGGACTGTGGTGGTGGATACATAAAACTGCACATGTGATAAATTTGCATGGAACACACATACAAATACATGCTTATAATACTAATGAAATCTAAATAAGATCCAGGCACTGTTCCAAAGTCAATTTCCTGGCTTGGATTCATGTACTCTAGTTATGCAAAATGCTACCGGGGGGAAGCTGGATTAAGACTGCATGGGACACCATGTACATTTACTTTGGTAACTTTGTGTGAATTTATAACTATTTCAAAATAAAAAGTTAAAAAATATCAAGTTTATAAATATATCATGGAAATATGAGTTCAAATACATATTTTATTTCCATGTTACTAGCTGATTGGCAAATAATTTTGTTAGAGCCCAGTCAAGCACACTATAAACCTTCTTCATTTCTTTGTAGGTAATGAAGAGAATGTTGAAGTCATCCTTATGGGTGTGCCAGCCTCTAATATGATCAAACCAGGAATTGACAAACACTGGTAAAAACAAACATTTAATAAATAAATCAGAAATTCAAAAATCTAATAGTAAGACCTGAAGGAAAGTACAATTTCATGCACAATATCCAGAAACTTTTACCTTTCTGGATTTTGTTCAACCAACCAATAGTTTTTCTACCTGACAGAGAAGACCAAATACAAACTCTCACTGGTCAGAAATACAGCAGAGACACAGGAGTGAGAAAAGACTCAAGCAGGACTTTCACTGTTACAATTTACCTGTTGTGACCCTGGTCAATGGACTGAACTGTGCTGAGTCTCACTTAGTCCTATACCATGAGGTATTAAGCACACCTGCTTCTGAGGAGGTGGGGAATAAAAGATCACAGATGTGACAGCACCCTGCATTTATCACACCAAGGCAGTACTCAATATATGTTTCCTGTGCTCTTATTTAAATAACTAGAAGTAGCTTGTTATAATGCTTCTCCTAATTGTAAGCACATGGGATTTTTGTGAAGTCACTAAATTATTTTTTATTTCCACATAGTGGCCTTTTATCCTTGTCATCATCTCCTTTGAGGGTGTCTTTCATGATATAGAATCCTGAATATTGTCATAAATGACATATTTCTTGTCCTCTGCTTGAGCATGTTACTTTCTTCCTGAAAATCTCATGGCCTACTACATCAAAGTCACCAAGTGGATGCTTGCTTTATTTAATTAATAGGTTGAATATTACCTTCACCAGTGAGAAATATTTCCATAAATTTCTCCATTGTCTTTACCTCCAAAAGTAGTGTGACTCTTGTGAAAAGTGAAAATAAGATGTCATCATATCTTCAGGGTTTCTGAATACAAACACAACCTGAAAGTAAAACAAGGTAATTTAGCTGTTCTAAATAGGCATATAATAATCCTAATTTTTATTAAACAGTACATTTGAAGAAACTACTAAGAGGTTTTAAATAATAAATTAGGCTATTGAGGCAAATTCTCCCAAACTCAAAGATTAAAAGACGCCAGCATAATTTTGGGTTTTATATTTGTCAGCCATACTTCCTCTCCCCAGGCACTCCAGGGATCTTGAGGATGTGGTACTAGTTCGAGACTGTCTATAACCCACTCCTGATCCAATTCTTTAATGAAGATAACATATCTCCAGATCTGGAAGATTTTCTTCCAGACATTCTGGGCATCCCACACACTTTGGAAAGGAAAAAGAAGTAGGGAAAGATACTTAGAGATCTGATCCATGGAGAATTGATCTTTTGTTCTCGCTGCAGCAACACAATACTACTTGAAGGTTTCAGACCTCTGACCCCAGGCATTGCCCCATGTTTCCCAATACCCAAGGGAGTGTGTGAAGTGCCCAAGATGAGCATTTACAAGGGTGTTATGACCCACTGTAGAGGACACACATAGATAAAATCTTAAAGATTGTTGTGCTCTCCTAGGATGAGGAAGAGGGAAACATCCAATATATTCACATTCTAGTATGATAGAATTGCATTTCAGGTCTCCTCTGTCTTACTGGCTACTCTCTGGTATGGTGTAAGCAGGCAATCAAGTGGAAAACTAGAAGA